GATACGATTGTTTCCACCGAAATATAATTTCACTTTAAGAAGTGCTGGGGTCATTAAACTGACATTTCACAATTCAAACACAAAGTGCAGTGCTTGTGCAAAGGTCACATGAACATAAGAATAGATTTGCAATTCAGATTGATTGAGTAAAAAAGGCTACCAACTCCCCGAATCAGATTGTTATATCATTAGGACGACGTGATTCTTCCAACAATTTTTACAGTCTGCATTCTTGTCGCTGATTATCTGATGAAAAGGAGGACAAAAGGAGACGAGTTGTGATTCACAAACAGCTTACAATGCAAACACACACACAAAACAACAAGGTATCAATTCCAGTCATTCTCTGTAGACCAAGGGTTTGGTATGTTGATTACAGATGTCTCCTTGTAAAACAGTGTCACAGAGCTACCCTCTATTCCCCTCGCTAACCACTTTGTATAAGACATGAACACATACTTTTGTTTTTAAAATACTCTTTATTTAACTTGATGTGTCAGCAAAGTGGAGATATGGATTACACATGCACACACACATACAACTAGAGTTGTATCTCAGAGTTGTATCTAGAGTCCTGTTTCTCAGTCAACAGTTTATGAGAAAAAGTCCCCTGGTTTAGTGCTCAGGTGGCTAGTCTATCACCTGATTCAGCATTCAGGATGGCAGCCATCTTGAACTGAGTAAAAGACCTGAAAGGACTTGTATCATGTTTTTTTATACCTTTGCTGTTTGTGTTGTGCTATTTAAAAGTGTGTATTGAAGGAAATTTCTTTACTGGCTTGGGAGAAACCAAAATAAAAATTAAACTGGCATTTAATGTTCTCCGTTAGTTTGTGTGAAGAACCGTATAACTAGTTGATCCCTGACAAACAGTGAAAGGATTTTTATCGCATTCTTGTTCAATACAAGGTGTTTTTATGTGCGCAGATCACTGAAAATCTTATCGTCCAAGCACAACTAAATAAATTTAAAAACTGTATCAAATTTAGAATGCAAATTTCTAAGGCCTATAAATTATCAACATGATCAACACTTTGCAGAACAACCTGTTGTACATTATCTTCTACATGCCTTTGGCCATCTGATTGATAATTAATACTTTAATTAATACTTTACTTTTATACGTACTAGGCCTTTTAGTATGATTCTAAAACGCCCCCCTTCAGTCTTTACTTGTTTTTATACTTTTATGTTGTTAGTAATAATTCAAGAAAAACATTTACTAGATGGAAGAAACTTAGGTTTATTTGATTATCCATAGATAATTTTATACAAAATAAATACATTAACAAGTATACTGTTGAAATGTGAGCATCAAACATGATACATCTTTTGAGGAATATTTATTTGTACATCTAGGTATCATTGTATTATATTTCATTATTAGGCTGCACAATAAAATCGAATGTGTGTTGATGACAAAAATCGGATTTTTTTCTTACTTTTTGACCATATAAATATCAGAAACTACACCACATTTCATATTTGCTCAGTTTGGGCCCCTGAATAAAATTAATGTGCTTTCCCCTCCTCATGCATCTCCATATTCTCCTTTATCTATATTGATATCTCTTATATCTTATACTATATGAAAAAAAGTCTGATGTATCAAATACAACTAAAAATCTGATTATTATTTCATGTCAGACTCTACAGGGTTAACAATACAGGGTTAAAAAATTCAAGTCTCGTCTAAAGCTGACCTGAGATTGACCCTCTGACAAAAACCTGCTCATGTTTAACGAAGGACACCTGGGCCCCTACACATCCACTAGCAGCTGTCAATCAACATCAGTCAATCTGAATCATTATAACTGACAAAAAGCCTTGAAAGAACAAGTCTCCAGTAAGCGTTCTTGTGAAATAGTAGTCTTGTTTAGACAAACGTTTGACTAACAGCATAAGATCCGGTACACATTGCAGTGTATTCTGGCCAAGAACCACCCACTTCCACAGGAAGTAATTGTATGATTGACAAATAAAGTGACTAATCACAGTTTGTTTTTATTATACCTCATATTTAAGGGCAGATGTATTACACTATAATAATAATTGATAGCTGCACCGAAAACACTATATCAATAAAGGTAAACGTGTATAGTCTTATCAGAATTTATATGCATTCAAGATTAATAAATACAAATTATGTCACAGCTATGTGAAAAACAAAAACAAAATACTGATGAATACAGGTTAGTTCTGCTCGTGAATATCCATTTACCTTGTAAAAACGAGTTTTTGCAGGTGAACTGATAAAAAAAAAGTTTCTTAAAGGGATACTCCACCCAAAAATGAAAATCGCACTTCAAAATATCTTCATTTGTGTTCAGCAGAAGAAATAAACTCATACAGGTTTGCAACAACTTGAGGGTGAGTAAATCATTACAGCATTTTCATTTTTGAGCAGAGTATCCCTTTAAGATTGGCCAATCAGATTAAAGCTTAATATTTGTGTGTGCATTATGCATCATATGGTCAGTGAACGGACTGTGGGCGGCCCATGCAGCCTAAGGCTGAAACTAGAGAAGGTAACAAAACACAAATTTCTCTCCTCGTTTTCTTGTACTTTCCTTTACTCCCTCTCAAACACGCATGCACACACATTTAGACAGATGGAGGATTATGAATTTATTTCATCCAGATAGTTGCTGTTCTGCCTTAAGTTCTTTATAGGCTTGGATTTTGGACTGGGAGTAATTTTGGGTAGTGTCTAAACAATCTATGGATTGAAATGGATTATGCATTGGATTTGTCTGTCATCTGAAGTAGTGTAAATAATCAGTAAGAGCTATACAATTTGAGCATATTCCATATTACTGATGCTGGTTTAATCTTGAATATCTAACAAGTAAGACATGGTCAATTGATATATTCATTTAAATATGTTTTAACCCTTAAATGCATGAATGTTTCGTCAATCATTATTACATATTCGGGTCTTTACCGACCCGGATCTATATGTAACACTCACAATAGTATAAAACTCTCCTTATATTTTAATAAAAAAGGGTCGCCTTGAAAAACTCACGCTGGGGGGCCAGTTAGAATATTTTAAACTTACGTGTGAAAGGGTTAAAAATATCTTCATTTATGTTCCGAAGATGAACGGAGGTCTTACGGGGTTGGTACAGCATGATGGGGGTGAGTAATTAATGACTTAATTTTCTTTTTTTTTTTTTTTCACCTAATACAGCTTTAAATAAATATTTTAGATTGTTACTATAGGGAGAAAATGGGTGTGAAATCAGAATTGCTTATGTTCTGCATTTTCAGGTGTAATTATGTGTCTTATCTACTTGTTTCAGCACAACGGACAGGGACCAAGACACTCCCGTGTGTAAACCTGAGCAAAACTAAAAACATAAATAGAGATTGCAAGAGAGAAACTAAAATATATATGCCACAATCTGCTGCACACTCACTGAAGCCTTGTGTAATGTACTTTACAAAGTGTCCTGCAATATGTTTGGCAGTACATTTTGGCCTTGTTTTCTCATCCCACAGCACATGAAATTATGAACTCAAAAACCTTGAGATAGCTAATCGTTTGAGAATGACATGCTTCATATGCTCTTCTTTGCTTTGGCGGCTGCTCTATTAAGAGCAGCAGTCCTATTTCATGCATGTGCAACAGCAATGTTATTCAACGCGATACCAGAAGTGGAAGAGAAAAAAAAAAACACCTTAACAATGACTAGAACAGAATAGCCTTCCGGGGATTACACAGAAAAAAATCACTGCTGCGCTATTAACGTTATTGAAATTCCATAAAGCACTGCGCCATCTCCCTCTCACTCCCTCACACATGCAATCTTTGTTTCATTCCATCCTCTTTCCAGATTGCAGGACACCAAGAACCATAAATCTCGGTCTGTTTCAAATGAGAGGACATGCCCTCATCTTCGTCCTTCCATACTGAGGTAATTACCAACTATGAGAGCAACCCCTGTGGACAAAACCTCTTAAACAACCCTAAGAATGTCTGCTGGTCTAAGGTGGTCTCTTTTTTGCATGGCTTTCTGAATAGTGCACCAAAAAAAGAAAAGAAAAGAAAGGCTGGAAGATTTAACAGTTCAACTGCATTTCTTGATAGCCAAGCTATTTTGTTGATTAAGGTTAGCAGAATAGCCTTCACTAAAACATTGCAATATTGAAAAAAAAAAACAATAACAACACACAACAAAACACAATGAACCACTGCATTATGTAGCCTACACCTTGGTATTTGCATGCTTATCCAAGGTATTTGAATATGGTAGTGATTGTACATTGTATGTCATTATATGACCAGTACTATGGCATTATCTGACACTGTACAGCGGTATTCCCACATTTGCCTGCTTCAAGTGCTGTCACGTGAGCATCAATCACAATAAATGGTATAGTATTTCAATTTTAGGATTTAAAAAAAAAATAATAACAATGTAAATAAATAAATGAAATGTAATATATAAAATTGATCAATTTCCATCTATTTTTTTTTTTAGATTTTCTATTTATAAAAATATGAGGTAGGTGAAATCAATTTTCTAAAGCGTGGCATTCAGTTTAATTAAGTTATTTTCTGCTAGCTAGTAGCTACATTTTTGAGTAGCTATCCCATTTCTGTCATGGATCATCCATCATAGGCCATGCGCTTTAGTGAATTTGATACAACTGCGGATTTAATACACCTGTATACACCACACAGCAAAAACATATTGTTGAACGCTTCCATAATCTCCTTTCCATCTAACCCAAACTCGTGCACTGCATTTGCATTCAAGGTGCCAACAAAAATCCACCTCCCGTTAATCCACAAGTGCGCGCACACCGTGTATACGCGCGCGTTCTCGCGCGCAGATGACAAAACAGCGGACTGTTATGAAGTGCTTTTTTTTTCTTTTTTTCCCCCAAACAATTACCGTGAAATAAATGTGACAACAACAGTGGCGGCAAATAAGCTTCTGTTACAAGCAGTAAACAAACCAACACCAAAAGGAAAGGCAGCGTACGCCTACCGTGCACTCTTCCATGCATGTCCGCACCGAATATACATCCGTTTCATATTTCTGAACCAAAAGCTCAAACTCTTGGTATTTCTCCTGAGCTCGTCGGTCGAAGCGTTGGTAAGCCTGAACGCACTGGCTGCATCCCGACGCATCAGCCATGTCCAGGCTACAGGTCAAATTGTCCGGACTCGAAAACCCGTAAAACAAATCCAAAAGCGAGTAGGAGTTACAAAAGGAAAGATAGAAATCGCTCAGGTTCCACTCGGAGAGGCCCGAGCACACGGTTTCCGGCTCGGCGAAAGTCAAGCAGTTTTTGGAGAGGCTGTCAGGGTGACAAGTTTCAAGTCTCCACGGAGGTTTGGTAGAATTGCCTATAAAAATAAGACTCTGCTCTCTCTGATGGCTGGATGAAAGTATATGGTTCGTGTGCTCGTGCCGTTTGTCTCGCGTCCTCGTCAGTTTCGCCTCGGCACAGAACCACAGATGATCAGAGAGCAAAACGGTGATAAACAAAAGAGAGGCTAAGGACAGTCGCCATCTCTGGGCCCTTTCCGAATCGGTGAATAATGGCTTTTCGTCCTCTCGGGGTGCGAAGCAGATTTTTAAGCCGTCATCTTGCTGCCGACACGTCCAAGCACCCCTGGTCATATTTCAGGAAAGAGCAGCACTGGCCGACTCCACCGCGACGGCTCCTCTGCCACAAAATGCATTGATTTGTAATGTTTTCCTCCCGTTAAACAGCGCTCGTGGCAGCTGTATCCGACTCTCTGGGCTAGATAAAGCCGCGCGCGGTCATATCTCCGTTATTCCGCATGGCTCCCCGGAGAAAAAGCGCTTTCTGCGTGACAACATGCCTCCTCTGTTCCCGAAGCTCCTGTCTGTGTCCCCGTATCTCCTCAAGGGAAGGAAAGACGCTGAACGAGCTGCTCTTTCCCTATCTGGGAGGATTGCCTTCGATATTCTCTGATGTTCATCATTACCATCATCATCATCTTGGGTCCTGTGTTAAGTTGCCGCCATGTTCGTCTTGAAACACTTTTTGGGGAGCTGGGTCATTTGCGTCATCTCCATCCTGGCGCAGTAACACAGATCTATAGACTACAGGCGATGGATACGCGCGCGTGCGCGCCAGCCCGCTCTCGCTCACCTCACTAACACTCACCGGACGTGTCAATATGAGAGATCACTCATAAAAAAAATACACATTTTCACGTACATGTTTAGATTTTAAAGCCGGACACCTTGTCATTCCTCTTGTCCACATTTATGGTCCATACATCTTCACCAACCCGTCAAACGTTCCCGTCAAAAGCAATCCGTTCAATACAATCACCAACACAATTAATAAACGACGATGTGTGGACGTTTAAAGACGCGGTGGCGCTATATGACATCGTTTTTTTTTCGATGCGTAATGCCCTTTAAATGCGCTAAGATGGGAGGAAAAGAATTTCACAACATGTTGCGTAAAGGAGAATCAGCATGTGACAGATGAAACGACATTTGTATGTCTCGTTCATCCCGTTCAGGCTGAAGTTTATTAGTATGCAGCGTGTTACTGTGTGAGCCGGGCACCGGAGAGACATCTGGGCGTCAAAGCAGCACGTTGGAAAGCGTGCGCGGAAACGTGAGGCGAGTGTGTGTAAGAGAGAAAGAGACAGATACAGTATATTTGTCCTCTAACAGCCTAACCTTGTGCGGCATGGCCCTGTTTGATCCAACATTTCAAAGCAAACAAAGTGTGCGTGCCGAGAACAATCACCACACGCTTGGCTTCTGCCTTCCTGTCAATATCTCGGTGCTGAACGTGAGGAGAGAGGCGAGGAAGGATGGCATGCAAATGCATTGCTTTTTCATTTGCATCCTTGAAGTAGTCAGATCACTGTCAGGTTAAATAGCTTGGAGTCTATTCCTTAAAGGGGACCTATAATACAAAATTCCATTTCAACATTAATTTGTGTCGGCAGTGTGTGTATAAAACCACCCCATACCCCTTTTAAAATAAATCTACATAAATCATAAGCAGTATTTCATATTAGCTATTAACAGTTTCCATGTAATATGACGTCACGTTACACAAGCCCCGCCCACGACTCTGCCCTATTAGCATAGACCTCTCTAGTCTGCCATGTTTGTCACTTCACTAGAGCATTAAACAGCAGAATTCAAGTAAGACATGTTATTAAAGCTAAAGTTATTCAGTCAAAAGGGAGTGATTTTATGTTTTTTTTTTCTTTTGTTGTTTGATTCATATCAAAACCTACAGTATATAGCAGTAGGTACAATGTTATACTGCTTCAACTTAAATACACAGATCTAATATACAGATGTAATTTATTTACTTGCTGCTTATGTTTACATACATAATGGCTGTTTATTTGAACTTTATGTGTTTTTGATATAATAATATTTGAGTGTTTAAGAGCAATATTAACACTTGAAAAAGAACTTAGTTTAATACTCAAATGACATGCGCCATCTGACAGTCAGCTTTCTGTGCACGTGCTTGCGCTAAAAAAAACCCCAACATTTATCAGAAGTTTAGAATGAAATGGCTTTAAAATGCATGCAGATAATATGATGCAGAACTGCAATGTTATATGAGCGTGACCATCATAGAGATGATCATCAAAACATAATGATGTTTTAGTTTATGTCAGAGTATCTGAGACACAAGCTGTAAAGGCTCAGCCCTCTTCTGGAAAGCGTAGTGGAAAGCAGCAGCTTATTTGTATTTGAAGATACATGCATGAAAATAGCTTGTATTTCCTTGCACTCGAAATTTGCATTTACAAGATGGTATACTAAATGATCTGTGGGGTATTTTGAGCTGAAACCTCACAGACACATTCTAGGGACAACTGAGATGTATATTGCATCTTGTAAAAAAGATCATAATGCGTGAAATATAATACTAAAATAAATAAAAATAATAAAATAAAATTGCATGCCCTAGAAAAATCAGATCAAAACAAAAAAAATATATAGCATATATTTATTTATATTATTAATAATGATAAATTAATGTGAAATAAAATATAAATCAATATTATTTTTATAACTTCCCCTTTATAATGCCCCCTTTATAACATCAATGGCCCAATTGAATTCAAAACCAAAGGTCTGTGGGTCTTGCAAAGTAAAATTATTCTGTTAAATGATGATACTAGGGGGGAAAATGCTCCAGAAGTGTACTGTTGCTTGGTTACTATTAGGGTAATATAATTTATGATCAATTTATTATAGATTTACATATTGAAGAACATATCAAACTATTAGTGTTTTTTTTTTTTTTTTTTATGAAATAAGATGGTGTCATAGCTAACTGTGCTAGGGGCAGCACAAGACTTTTCAAGTTGTACAAGATGAGCCTCAATAGATTTAATCTCTAAAATATAATAGAAATGTAAAACAGCATAAACTGTGTAAAACGAAAAGGAGTTTGATTAAAAGGTGGATACAGAAATGTATTTTCAATACTGTGTCAGTTTAAAGATCAACAGGAAATACAGCCAATTACATAAATACATGCAGGATTTGTGATGTCATACAGATACAGGCAAATACATCTGCATTTTACTGCCTCCATAGCAAGCCATTGCACCATAGACACCACCCACTGGCATTCAGTTGCTTAATGGCTTACACATGCCTATGAATGTGAGTGTAACGTTTAAAGCGAATATAACTCATTATAATCATTGATGCTGTCTACACTGGATACAGTATACAGTTGCATGTTCAGTTTCTGACACACTCCACAGTCTGTCGATAAGGATTATATATTATGTTCGTATATAGTGGTTGAGAAAATCCACCAATTTTGAATAAAATACTACTGTTGTTGTGTCACAAAATGTTGTTTTTAGGCGAAAATGTAGTTATATATATAATCATTGAGCCTATTTTTTATCTATTGAGACAGAAAACTTTCAAGACTATGTGTCATACTGTGAGATCAACAATGAGCAGGAAATAGGAAATGAGTTCTCAGAGTTAAAGATAATTATGACAATGCTTTTCATTTATTCAGAATTATAAAAAAAAATACTGACACAAAGTCAGAAGACAACTTTGATGGAATTGTTTTTATTGAAAATATAATTAAAAATTTACGTTTTGTATACAGATCTCTGCCTTTTAAATGTATGTTCTTAAATTTGTTGCATTTTTAAAAACTTTGTTTGGCAGTTTTACATTGTGAAATAATTCTAAGAAATTATTTTAAGAAAATATCCATATTTCTAATATATATATATATATATATATATAAAAATAAGTATTTTTATTTTGATGAATTTCTTTATTTTTAACATAAAGATGGCTGTTGAGTACTGTAAGACATGTTTTGTCCTTTATCTCAAGAATCAGTTATAATTTATTCTAAATAACCAATTGTATGTATCCAATCACATTTGGCAGTTCATAACCTTTTAATTAGAAAATGAATATGGTAACTGTGGAAAATAATATTATAATATGAGAATATGTCAAAATAAATGTTATTTTCATTATGATGGATCAAACCAGTTTTGCCGTGCAGTGCGTGAACAGGTGTTACGATTTGGTTTTTGGGGCTAAAAAATAGAATTATTTTCAGCCCCATTGTACCCTATGACCCTAAATTGAGTTTGGGAAGAAACACAAATATGGTTTGTTTGAATGTTGTTGCACAGCGCAGCTCTCATAATGACCAGATTATATTACTGGTGATGAACTCTTCCTGCATTAAAGATTTCAGAGGAAGTGCTTATCACTCATCAGAGAAAATCAGCTGGCAGAGCAAGGGAAAATTCACATGGAAAATAATGAGGATTAACAGAAGTAAATTAGGAACTCACCATCCCCCGTACCAATAGATTGCAACAGTTGGTTTCCAGAAGTAAAACCTAAAATGTAGCATTGTTTTCATATAAAATCAACATTCTTAAATGGGGAATTTTATTTTATTTTTATCATTAATTTGATGATGCTGTTTGCAATGCTTCATGGGATTGTAGTTCTTTCTCTCATAAAGCCATTAAGTACACAGTCTTATACCTTGTGTATTTTTTGTCTGATTTTTAAACACTTTTTTGCTTCCAATTAAAGTTTTTGCTTTTATGATTCACCTCATAGCTGATTATCTTGTTTCATGGCTTCTTGCCTTTTTTTAATCCCTTTGGGATAAATAAATGGAAAAGAAAACTCTTCATTCTATACTTCATGGACCGAGTTGGAATTCAAAGGCTCAGCTTAAATGAACACATGCTTCCCAGAAGAAACATCTCTCTTCTGTAAATACATGTTTGTTTGTTTTTTCACACATACACTGCTTGTGACAAAAAATAGAAGTTAGTAGGGTTTCCCCCTTTTGTAACCAATGTTTAATGTCTCCTATAGGCTAATGCTGGAATCTCATCTATACTCCATGGAACAGTTTCAAATTGCCTGTTCTTCTCCTGGAATATTTCAACGCATTCTCACCCCAAGGCGTCACCTTTGACCATGCTTCAATATTTGACGTTTTAGGCGCCCTTTAGCGTCACTTACATGACGCGATCCTACGGCGTCATCTAACTGACGCTAAAGGAAAGCGTCTGTTAGAGGACGCGGTTAGGTTTAGGTGTGGGCTGGGGGTAGGGTACACGCGATCCTAGGGCGTCATCTTACTGACGCTAAAGGGCGCCTAAAGCGTCAGATATTGAAGCATGTCCAAATGCTTCCCAAGGCGTCAGTTAGGTGACGCCTTGGGAGTGAGAATGGGCTGAATATTTTCAGCATTCTCTCACAAGACTTTCAGCATACTCATCAAGAGATCTAAATTATGAATTGTTAGACGAGCCGGGGTGAAATTGAGCACCATGTCTGCATTAAAATCAAGACTATGAGCAGTACCAGCTTCTCTCTATCTTCATTTTAAAGGGACACTATGCAGTTATTGAAATGGTTATATGACTTCTTTTGGGTTGAATGTCTATGTCCCCGTTGAACCATCTCACGGCACGGATATACCATTACAAACAAATAAAACATCTCCTGTTAACTCTGTAGTAGAGCACTAATTTCGTTCGTTTGTTAAATAAGAGGCAAATTGAAATGTGTTGTTTTTGAAATCAAGTGACCAAAGTTTGTTGCCTGTGCGATCAGTGGCTCGGATACAGTGTTCTGTTGTGACGTGCACAGTCTTCACACGGACCTGCACTTCAATTCGTTGCAGAGAAGGAGCGACTCTCTATGTTTGTTATGGTGAAATCACAAAACCCAATGCACAAAAAAAAAAAAAAAAACCTGTGTCCCTGGTTGAAATACAACCACTAATAAACAATCGGTTTTGAACCCAGCACCTGTGACACACTTGGCAAAAGTTCGGCCTCTGGACCATTAAAGTTCATGGGGATAATTGTCGGATCTATGTATTTAATCACGTGAACAACTTATATTAGATCACATTAAACAACAAATTAAACTATTGTGTACTATGTAACACGCCATGTCACGCTCTGAGTGAGTGGTATTAACGACAGCAACGATCGCTGATT